ATTCTCTTACAGGATTCCTCTTCTGCCTTCATAAAGAGATCTCATAGCGCTGGAGCTGCTGGGAGACTCCCCTCCCGTCCTTTCACAGGGATGCCCCCTGTTCCTTTTAGTGAGCCAGCCTCCGCCCTCCCCCCCCCAAGGCTTCACTTCTGTAGCTCCCTTCTCCCGTAGCTCCTTTTTTCCTTAGCTCCTCTAAAACCCAAGCAAAAGAGGCCGAGGCTGGAGAGACCCCCGGATGCCCCGTGACTCCTATCACAGGGGCCTTCTTCATCCAGGGGAGCCGGTGAGAGTTCCCTCTGCGCCCCTTCTTTGACTGGAGGAGTTGGAAAAGAGGAGGGCGTCGGGGGTGTACTCCCCACCCCATATATCCTGGAGCTGGAGCCTCAAGGGGGACAAAACCTAGGCAGCTGCAAAGACTTACAGGTGAGACTCAAATACGTAGCTAAAGGCGGGTGGCAAAGGTGGAATCTTTTGGGGGAAGAGGTTGGGGGAAGGAAACGGAAGGTGAAAGGGCCTGTGGAACAAAGACAGAGGCGATAAGCCTATTCTGTGAGAATCTAGTTCTCCCCTCCCCACAATTATCTCTCTCAGAACAAGTACAAAATTTGGACCTTTTAGGTTAGGAAGTGCATTTCCTCCCCTCCTTTCTTTCTTCTCTTGAGGGCTTAAAAGAGCAATGGTTTACCTCCCCCCAAAAAAAAATCTTTTAGGCATCATTTGTTTTCTAGTTGAGCCCAAGAGTTCTGGATCCAAGATGATTCTTCCTCTTCCTTTCCTGTTAAACTTTTATTTGGGGGAGGCCTAAGAACCTCCTGCAGGTAGATCCTGGATTCTGCCTCCTGTCATCCAGATGCCTTGTTGCCCTATGCCCGGGGAAGGCTGGCTTTGGCACTCCACCCCTAATCTGGTTAAACCCCACTCCCTCTTTGGAACTCATAGATCAGGGTACAGGCCTCCCTATCCATTCCCCTCCTAAGCAACTTGGGGGGTCCTAGCTCCCAGCCCCCCTCCATTAGACCCAGTTCTGCTTCCAAGGAGTCCCATTCTTGTGTCTTTAGATGGTTTGACAGGTCTGCATTCGTGAGACAGTTTAGAATGAAGGGCTGTCGTGGAGCCCCTTGGGAGTTGTAATTCTGGTGCGGAGAGGGCTGCTGGAGTGAACACAGGGAGTGCATTTCAGGAAGGTGAGGTGGGTGACCCCTTCTTTGCATCTGGGTTTTGTGTTCCATCGCATTTTTGTGAATTGAGGGTGGGGGTGGAATTGCAATTCAGGGTTTTTTTGCTATGGGAGAGGATGGGTGTCATGCCAGCACTGCAGAAGAATTAGTTTTGACATGAGGACTTGGATGGGAAAAAGATGAGGTGTATCCTGACTGGAGTGGTCTTTCTTTAAGATCCTGTAGGTTTCTTCATGGCTGACCTCCTTGAGCCTGGAAAGTCCTACTTCCCAATGGTGACAAACTAGAGGGGTAGCCTGAGTCTGCTGTGTGACAAAAACAGAGAGTAATTTCATGACAGGTCTGGGGAGGGGGCTGTGGCTCAGTGGTAGAGCATGTGATTGGCATGCAGAAGGCCCCAGGTTCAGTCCCCAGAATCTCTATCTGAAAGGATCAAGTAGCGGGAGGTGTGAAAGACTTCAGCCCGAGACTACTGCCTGTTTGAGCAGTTGCTGACCTTGATGGGCCAGTGGTCTGATACAGTGTAAGGCAGCGTCGTATGTTCGTGTGTGTATGTATGGGACAACTTGCAGCCTCAAATGTATCTGCCTTCTGAGGATACACTTCATGCATCTGATGAAGAGGGCTCTAGACCTTGAAAGCCTATGCCTCAGTGAAAGTATTTGTTTTTATTGTGCCGGGAGACCGTTCTTTACTTTTCAGTGAGTTTGCCACGGTTTGTTTGGTCCTCGTAGCAAAGATCTTTTCCTGTCAATGTATCTTTCAAAGCTCTTCATATTCTGAAGTCGAAAAACAAAAGCAAAGGAAATCCAAATTCCACAAGCAAAGATATCCAGTTTGGCATTCAGCATATGCTGTAGAGAGTTTTCAATTTCCTGTTCTATCTGAACTCCATATTTGACTTTTCTTAGAATTTGGCACTGTGTTGCGGGGGACTGGGACCCTGGCTCCTGGGCACTGGGAGTGTCGTCGTCCCCCCCTGCCTTTCTGCAGGAATCGAGTTGTTTGAAACATGAAACACCTGAGTGCTTGTAACTTTCTTACTTCTAATAAAAAGTGGAATTATGCAGAATTCCAGCGATCTTGTGAAGTTGTGTGTGTGTAGTGCTTCAGAACACTTGTAAGCTCCTCTGGGCACCAAGTGAACTGGAAGGCGGTGTATAAATATAATGAAATAATGATTTGATGCATTTTGTACCAAGTGTTACTGGAGCAAAGCAAGCAGATTCCAGGCTTTCTCGCTTAATGGATCATTGTTCTCTGACCAGGATGAAATGAGATTTGGGACATGGGTCCCTTTAGAGGTCTGGAGCATGCTAGGTTGAGGTAGGGAGTGGAAAGGAATCGGAGAAGGCTTTTCTTCTGGTGTGCGCACAGCCGTGTCCGTGTTTGCTTGGGTATGGCATTAGGGCAGCCTGTGTGTGTGTGTGTGATGCCTTGGTCAAAAATGAGTAGGCATCTGTGTGAGTTCTGTTGCTTTTGGGGCTCCTCCTTGCATCTGTTGTTTTGACCCTGTCCTAATAGCTGGTAGTTTCATCATGCAAGACAGAACACGCCAGACAAGACATTTTGCATGTTATTTACAAGAAGGAACTTTGAGAGATGTGTGGCCATAAGGAAAGTGGAGCAGATGTTTCTTTTTTTCATGGTCATGCCAGACCATAGTGACTATTTTGGGGCTTTTAGGCTTCCTGGTTCTTTCTTGTGGCCAACAGTTCTGTCCTTGCCGGTAGTCTCTTCAGTTTCGCACAGCTTTGCAAATAATTGTACAAGAGTCACTAGCCCGTCAGCTGCTTGTGTTACAGCAACAGACAAAAGAGAGGACTCATGCAAAGTATCATTTAATTTATGCAATCCATTGCTTCAGCATATCGTGAAGATCACTAGCTTAGATGGCTTTGAAAGTGGATTAGACACGTTTGTGGGTGACAGGTTATCAATGGCTGTTGGCTGTGATGGTTAAGGGCAGTCTTCACGTTCCAGGGCACCTCTGAATGCCAATCGCAGGGGTTAAATGGTTGGGGATGGCTATCGCCTTCCTGTCCTGCTTTTTGAGCTTCCCAAAGGCCTCTGGATGGCCACGGTGCGGAGCTGGGTGCTGGGCTGGTGAACATGTTCTTCTTCAGCAGGGCTCCTTATGTGTTCTTAACAGGCTGAAGGAAATACAAGAATCAGCTTGCTTCCAATTTCCTTCACTGGTGTTTCTGATCATAAGAACATAAGAGAAGCCAATGCTGGATCAGGCCAATGGCCCATCCAGTCCAACACTCTGTCACACAGTGGCCAAAAATACCAGGTGCCATCAGGAGGTCCAGCAGTGGGGCCAGGACACGAGAAGACCTCCCACTGCTGTCCCCCCCAGCACCAAGAATACAGAGCATCCCTTGCCCCAGATCATGAGTTCCTACTTATATCTTGTGGCTAATAGCCACTGATGGACCTGTGCTCCATATGTTTATCCAATTCCCTCTTAAATCCATCCATGCTTGTAGCCGCCGCCACTTCCTGTGGGAGTGAATTCCATGTGTTAATCACTCTTTGGGTGGAGAAGTACTGATGGCCAGGCAAGAGCAAGCACAGTCTTTTTTAGGTGGCCTCCAGTTCGTTCTGTACAACATTTCTCCCACCCCTCTTTGCAAATGTTGGTGCAGACTTCCCCTTTGGCTTCCAAAGATGGATCCTGAACGGCATTTGCACTAGGCAGCCTCTCTTGTAATAAAGCCTCTCCTGTCTCTCCAAGTTAAGAAAAAACACTAACATATGATGAAGCATTACTTTTGAGCCTGAGGGTAGCATACTGTCCAGTCCATGACAAAGCGACAAAAGTCATCCTTCTTGACTAGCCCTGGCAGGAGAGACCAAGATGCCGTTGCTTCTTAAGTGACTGTTAACTTACTGAGTGTCAAGCATCTGCCGCTGTTTTGCTCATGTCATCACAGTGTGGTATAAGCCGATGAGTGATGGTGTTTTCTGGTCAGAAGTCTTGAGGAGCTGGGAATTTCCAATTTTGATCGTGTGCTTTCTCAGACCCTACAGCAGGCACCGGCAAGCAAATGGGCGATTAACTTGCCCTCCCACCATAAAGTCTGCAACTGCACCTGCGGAAACTCAAGATGTTGGTACAACTTTCGTATCTCCTTCCGTGTAAATTATCTTTCAGACGTGGTGGTAGAAGCATGAAAAGCGGAAGCTCTTTCTGTAAGGCCATAGGAAGTAGGACCTTGCTGCATTAGGCTAAAGGTTGAGCACTTGCCAGATTCCCAGGAAACTCACCAACAGAGCAAGAAGACATCCAGTTATCTCGTAATAAGTGGTATTCCAAGGTGGCCTCTGAACATTGAAGTTTTTCTGAACCATCATAGCTCGTAGGTATTAATAGACATATCCCCCTTCCTTCACGCAATCCCCTTTTCAGAACCGGGGGGGAGGGATGCTGTCTCTCTTTCCACCCCTAGCTGTCAGAAATAACTTCCCCTTTGGACACGTTAGAGGAAGGGCATAATGTTGAAGCACCTTCTGTAAAGTCCAAAACTACTCCTTCAGATGAGTGCGGGATCTCAGCTCTGCCTGTGTTTTTAACACGCGTGACGGAGCATGTTAAAACCTGCCAGAATGCATTTCCCCTTTCTAGCAAAGGTCATTTGTTAGAACCAGGAGGCTCTCAGCTTTCCCTTCCTAAAATAGTTTTCTAATGGTTGCAGCAAAATCTCTGAAAATGACTGCAGTGTGTTGCCAAAGCATTGTTTTCTCTTGTGCTGTTGTGGTGGAATGCAACCCCTAGAGGTTGCTCCTGAGTTAACCACAGGTGACTCCGTAAGCACCCTCTTCGTCCAGGAGAAAGTGACACTTGGAATCAGTTTCCCAGAGCCTCCGGGGGTAGGGCAGGTGAGGAAACAGCCATAAAAGGGAAGAGGAGGATGGAGAGCGAGGGAACGTGTGGAGGAGAAAAAGCCAGAAGCAAAGACAGGAGACAGAACTCTGCATTCTGTCCTGCTGGATCCATGGTGCAAATATGGGAATTATCATCATCAAGACCCTGTGTAGCTTCGGTTTTTAAGTTTCTAGCCCTCATACAGTGGGAAACTTGCCAGAATGGAGAGTGGTGGGAGCAGAAGCTAGATGGCTTTTATACTGCCCCCCCCCCCGCAAGTGGGGCTCAGGGCGGTTCACAACACAACTATAAAAACATATAAATCAGAATAAATAGTCTAAAATACAGATCTACTTCAACTGAACCCTGACCCCGACATGGCACCATAATACAGTTCTAGCCCCCCCCCCCAACTTGTAATTAAAAATTAGCAGTTAACAATGGGTGGGAGGGGAGGTAGTTTGCAAGGCAGATAGTTAATACTATTAGCCATTAAAACCACTAAAAATGTCACTGTCCTGAACCGTAAGCTTGATGGAACATCTCTGCCTGGCAGGCCCTGCGGAATTCCGATCGATCCCGCAGTGGGCCCTGGTGTCATTGGGCAGAGAGCCCCACCAAGTCGGAGGCAGGGCCGAAAAGACCCCAGCTCTGATTGAGGGCAGCCGGATGCTCTTTGGTCCAGGGACCACCAGTAGATGTTGGCTATTTGAGTGTAATGCTCTCCGGGGGACATACCAGGAAAAGCGGGTCCCTTGGGTATGCTGGACCTTGACTGTTTAGGGCATTAAAGGTCAAAACCTTGAACCTGACCTGGTACTCGACTTGGAGCCAGGGCATCTGGTGGAGCACAGGTTGTATATGTGCAGTGATTGGTGTCCCTGTGAGGACCTGTGCTGCTGCATTCTGGACAAGCTGTGACTCCCTAGATAGTAGGGCTTGAATGCCCAAGACACCTTTCTGTCAAAATGGGATGGATTGATAAGACAGATAGAGATGGACCTGTGTGTGAAGATTTTGGAGGTCTGGGAAACGAAGAGGGCTTGAAAGAACTTTGTGGGGACGTAGCCATCTTCCTCTTGGACAAGCACATAAGGCTGTTTCAGGGTCCCTTATTTGCCAGAGCGTTTTGTTACCAAG